GGGGTGCTGGCCGCACTCCGGCTCGCACGCGACCGCATTCTTTGTGTAATGGGATAAAGTCGCGTTTCACCTTTGTCACTAATCCCTCGCCGCGATTATTAAATTGTCTAACCTAAATTCCTATGGGCATTGCTGTAAAACAATCCTTCCATATAAAGTAGCCGAGGTGGACGGTTCCCGCAAACTATCAGAATGAGTTAAATCCAATACTTGAACATTAAACCGGTGAGTCACTATGACACAGTTCGTGTCGTTATACCTGTGGTGTGGCCCAGGTCGTGTGTGCGGTTTACCCAATACCGCGGAGTGCTGATTGGCCAAAGGTTACTTTTCTAAAATCATTAGTATCTCTGCAATCAGATTACGAATACTTTTGCTACTGCGTGAGGGCGCGGCGCCGGTAGCAGCCCTGCTCTGTATGACTGCAAATTAATGACACATAGCATATGACGGAAAACTGGCCGAAACTAGTCTGGCTATGTGACGATGATTTCAATAAGTTTATGAGTCATCAAGTATTTTTCATTGAATATATTTAAGTAATTTCCTACTTAGATCTTTACGTTTAATTAGATACTTAAATCATCATACAAATGCTTGGTGCAAAAGATATGAGCAATAGAAATGGATAAAATAATAAAGCTACTTAGAGATTCCTCTACAGCCACCGGTGGGTCGTGGGGCGTCGTGAAGGGGGGGCGCGGGGCGGCGCGCGGGGGTTGCAAGGATTTCTTTAACTACTTTTGACGTAAAACTGGCTGGGATGCGTAATTTATAGCTTCTGTGCATTTTTTTGTGTGCAGCTTTCCTTTGTATGTCGTAAGGTGACGTATAATTTGTTATGCCCGAGCGGATGTGTGTGTGTGTGCGTGAAATTCATAGGTATTACACACCATTAGTGAACCGATATCATCGTATTGTGTACATCTCATTTTAATTGATTCAGCATGTTAACTACACATACAGCACAGCTGGGTATATCCGATTACTTGAAGTTGGCTATAGTTAAGTCATGAGTCGCGGGGCGAGGGGCGAGGGGCACGGGGTGAGGAAGGCGCGAACTCACCTCATGTCAACTCATCATCTTCGAGTCATCTCCAACACAAGATCGCAGAGCAGCAGGTGGTGTCCCGCTCACGACATACTCGCCTCCCGGTTGCCGAACAATATTTATTGCGTTCAATGTATTATGAAGAGTGGCGGCTGCATTACAGTTGCCGCGTCGTTTCTTATTCCTCGCTACAAATAACAGTAGCTTAGTGCACAATCCGCTCACCTGCGGCCGCCGCGCGCTGTGGCCTCTCGGCGCTGGCATATACGAATTTATTGTTTATACATTACTTTAAGTACATAAATAATGTTATTGGGTACCCAAGTATTGATGTTATTAAGGTAAAACCTGTGTGGTCGGAAGTTACCGAGCGGTCGGGGCGTCGCGTTGTGTTGGCACCGCTCCCAGCGCCGTTCACGCACTCTTCATTCATTTAAGGCAACTCTTTTGTTGAAGATTTGGGTCTATCATACAATTTTGGAGTAGAACATAGAAACATAAATGGAAATCAATTTGTTATTTATAAACTTTCTTCAGATTCCACGTAACTCCAACCTTAATAGTAGGCAGCAGTGATCATATGTTTGAAAACATTTTCTAATGCAGGTTTTTGTCGTATTATCTATATTCCACAGATAACACGACAAAAACGAATTAACGTAACCCATATCGTGAATATTCTTGTGAATATGCTTTTATAAAAAAAAAACACCGGAAAATTATTTCAAATAAATTTTGACATTATGAGAGCGGAGTGCGACAGCGAGCGCGCCCCTTCTAGTCCCTTCTCGACGTCCGATTACGTCAATTTCCGTTGGGACTCTGTGCTAAACAGCTTAGAACGTTCTTTTACCTCGATCTGATGTGAAATTATCTGTATAAGGTTTTTTTTTCATTTTCTGGTATAAAAATTGCTTTGGTTTGAAAAATGTTCAGTTGACACACAAACAGCGGCGCAGGTCGCCTGCTGGCGCTGTCGGAAGTTTGATCCCCTTCCTTTAATATTTTGTTGTATTTATTGTTTGATAGGTGTGAAATGTGAAGTAAAGTGTATAATGTGTGCGCAGGCGGCGGGTGCACGTTTCCGGCGGGCTGGGCGGGCAGTTGGTTCCAGTCGGGCAGTCCGGCCCTCATCGCCATTAACGCCACGCACATACACTCGAAAGGCGAGTGCTACGAGTCCGAGTCTTACGACAAGTTCCTGCTGTACGACAGGTGCGTTCCCCGCGTTTCGTGCTTTATAGTTTACTAGCTGTTCCCGTGCGACTTCATTCGCATAAAATTATGAAAACTTAATTTTATTGTTTACATGTGTCAAAGTATCAATTGCAAATGTCAAAATGACACGAGGATGACAAACCATGGCAACCTTGCTTCCTTGATGTTGGCAGCACCTTATGATCTCTTTCCCGCATTGGGGTTTTTATCTAAAATATTTACCCCCTAAGTTTAATGGCGTGAAAATATATAGCCTAAAGCGTGACGTAAGTGTAGGGCTTTTTATTTTAAAAAATTCAGAAATGTGCTATAATTGCTGACATCTTAGGCAACAAAGAAGTGTGTGTATACGCTTTATTATAATTATAAAATACTAGTATAGATAATGTACTGTGTTACAGGCGCGAGGACTGCTTCAGATGCATGGTTATATTAGAGAAGCACAAATATGTCCTACAATACAAAGAGAGTAAGTACCACATTATTTTTACTAGTTGTCAGTTTTTGCCTTGACGGCATTCGGCTGTGTAGGATTTTCAGGGTTAATTAGCAGTATAATATTTATGAAATAAAAAACTTTGAATTTTTGGTCTAGTTTCGTGTTTATTCAACGCTGTATACATTAAAAAATAGTCCAGTGGCTTTTGTGGAATAGCCGTAACGCGACTCGACGCCCCCGGAGAGGCGGTGTCATGAGCGCGTGTGTCATTGTGTCG